GGAGTAGGGCTCAGTGAACATGGACGGGGCCTGGGTGAGTGGACATGGATGTGGCATGTGTGAGTGGACGTGTGCGGAGTAGGGCTCAGTGAACATGGACGGGGCCTGGGTGAGTGGACATGTGCGGAGCAGGGCTCAGTGAACATGGACGGGGCCTGGGTGAGTGGACGTGTGTGGAGCAGGGCTCAGTGAACGTGGACGGGGCCTGGGCGAGTGGACGTGTGCGGAGCAGGGCTCAGTGAACGTGGATGGGGCCTGGGTGAGTGGACGTGTGCACAGTAGGGCTCAGTGAACGTGGACGGGGTCTGGGCGAGTGGACGTGTGCACAGCAGGGCTCAGTGAACTGTGAACGCGGCCTGGGTGAGTGGATGTGTGCTGAGCAGGGCTCAGTGAACGTGGACGGGGCCTGGGCGAGTGGACGTGTGCTGAGCAGGGCTCAGTGAACGTGGACGGGGCCTGGGCGAGTGGACGTGTGCTGAGCAGGGCTCAGTGAACGTGGACGGGGCCTGGGTGAGTGGACGTGTTCGGAGCAGGGTTCAGTGAACGTGGGCGGGGCCTGGGTGAGTGGACGTGTGCACAGCAGGGTTCAGTGAATGTGGGCGGGGCCTGGGTGAGTGGACGTGTGCACAGCAGGGTTCAGTGAACGTGGACGGGGCCTGGGCGAGTGGACGGATGAGTGATTGGGCACAGACATAGCCCTTGTTGCTTTCTCACAGTCTCTCCTGGCATTTCTGTGGCTGTGCATTTGCAGGACCTTTATAGCTACGGGCAGTCGACTGTGGCCAGTGACTATGAGAACGAGCAGTCACAATACAGTGCCACCAACTCCATCTACCAGTCAGGTGGGTCCCCTCGCGGAGTGCGCATGCACGGGTCGGAGACTCGGGGCTCCTGGGGTCGTCAGCAGGACCTGGAAGCTCCCCGGCAGGAGTGGGCTTGGTGGAAGGGCATGAAAAGGAGACTGCTAGGAGAGGAGGCATGGAGGGCAGAGGGCAGTGCCCAGGAGATGCCAGCTCTAACCTTGGGGAAACATTGTTAGAAGTCACTTGGAAACATTCTAGACTCACAGTAGAGTCATAGACGGTGTAAATGGTCTAGTGCTCAGTCGCTAACCCAAGATAAGAGGTTCAAGTCCACCCAGGGGTGCCTCGGAAGAAAGGCCAGGCAGTCTGCTTCTGAACACTCAGCCCCAGGAAACCCTGTGGAGCACAGTTCTATTATGACCTACACAGGGTGGCCATGAGAGAGCTGACGCCACAGTAACTGACTGTAATACTGAGAAAGGCAGTGGTGGCTCAGTGGGGAAATTCTCACCTTCCAGACCGGAGACCCGGGTTCAATTCCCAGACAGGGCACTTCATGGACAGCCACCTGTCTGCGGAGGCGTGTGTGTGTGTGTGTGTGTGTGTGTGTTGCTCAGATGCTCAGCAGGTTTCCATGGAGCTTCTAGGGTAAACAGAAAAATAAACAGGAAGATCATTCTGGTGATCACCTACCGGAAACCAACCCATGAAACCCCTGCAGATCACCACTGTCCAGTCCAGAACCCATCACACGGGGTGACACAGGGCCGGCAGCTTATTGTTCTGGGACACAGGGTCCCCAAGACCTAGGAGCCCTGCTGGTACAGTGTTTAAAGTATTCAGCGGCCAACTGAAAGGTTGGTGGTTCAAACCCACCAGCCACCCCTTCAGGAGAAAGATGAGGCTGTCTGCTCCTGTCAGGATTGACAGTCTTGGAAGCCCTAGCGTGTGGCTCCCGTGTCCTAGAGGGTCGCTGTGAGTCGGAAGCCACTGGATGTAAAGCAGTAGGTTTGGTTTTGTTATTTGGATGGTAGGGATCTAGACTGACGAGAGACATGGGGGTGACGTGACCATCTGGTGTTCCCAACCATACTCTGATGTCTCGGGGACTTGGTCATGCTTCATAGGAGACAGAGCAGGACAAATTGGAGCTGAGAACATTCTTCAAGGGTGCTTCCCAGGACGGGAGGGTCAGCCCCAGGAGAGAAGGAGCAGGGATACAGAAAGGAGTGGTAGACATGGGCCACAGCCAGGACCGGACCCAACTCCGCCAGCGCTGACTAGCCCCGCCCCCCGACTCCACCGGTGCTGACTGGCCCCGCCCCTGACAGCGCTGACTGGCCCCGCCCCTTACTCCTGTCTGGCCTTAGCACCTGGGCTTGGGGCGGGTCTATGTGCACCTGCAGGCTGGTTACAGCAGCCCGAGCCAGCTCCAGCATCTCCATTCAGGGGTTTTGTGCTGCAGGTACCAAAGAAAGCTACAGCCAGGCCAGTGGGGGCTACAGTCAAACCCAGCCTGGGGGGTCGCCTGTGGGCACCTCAGTGTCTAACTGCATCTACCCATTGGAGACCACCGCCCTACCTGCTGCCTCAGTGCCCACCATGCCAGCATACACCCTGACCTCATACAACCCCCCTGCTGTCTCCTATGCAGGTAAGACAACCTGAGCATAGCCCAGTGTTGTGTGTGAACCCTGGGTGGGACACACAGCACGTGAACTTAGCTGGTAACAGAAAGGTTGGCAGTTCAAACTCACCCAGCTGCTCCACTGGAGGAAGACCTGGGGATCTGCTTCTGTCAACACGACAACCATGCAAACAGCGTTTAACAGACACATTTGCCTGCTCCCCAGAATGTTGGAGGTTCAAGACCACCCAGAGATGCCCCCAAAGACAGGCTTGACGGTCTCCTCAGCTGGTGCTGGTGACAGCTCTGCTGCCCAGTCAGCCTGCTGTAAAGGAATGCAGCGTGCCCCTGCCCTCCCCCATCTGTCTCTCTGCTTCCTAGGACCGGAGTACCCAGCATGTGATGGGTCGACGTCTTCAGCCACTGGGCTGCATTATCCTCTGCCGCTGCGGGGACCCACTCCACCTCAGCTGCCACCACCCCCACCGCCTCCCCCACCCCCGAAGCCAGCCAACTCATCCTTGTGGGGCACCCCCGGGAACAGCCCCAGTTCCAGGTTCAGTCCTGCCGGGAGCTTCAGCAGGCCGCCAAAAACCATCCACTACTGTGAGATCTGCAAGATCAGCTGCTCTGGTCCCCAGGTCAGCGTACCCCCAGGGCATCCCCTGTCCCTGGGTGTCCGGGAGAGTGCTGGACGGCCCCCTGGAACCCCTGAGCTAGAGCACTCAGTGTCGGGGCTGGGGTCCCAGTTCAGGTCTTCCCAAGGGAGCTCCGACGTTAAGCTGGTGGTGCAAAGCGCCTGTCTGAATTTCCTGCAAGTCCCTGCTGACAGGTCTACAGAGCAGAGAGAGTCGGCCCAGCAGGGAGAGGGGCCACCGTCTTCTGGGGGTTGGTTGGATACAGTGAGGGTCATCGAAGCAGGGCCACCAGGGTGAACACTGCAGAGCAGAAAGAGAGAGCGACCCGGTGTGTGTGTCTGTGTGTGTTAGAGTGTATGTATGTGATGAGTGTGTGTCTATGTGTGTCTCTGTTAGGGTGTGTGTCTGTGTGGGAGAGTGTCGGTGAGGTTATGTCTCTGTGTGTATATTTGTGGGCTCTGCATTTGTGTATGTCTCTGTCAGGGTGTGTATTTGGGTGTATGTATGTTTGGGGCATAGCCATGGAGAATCTCCTAAGCAAACACGCACACATGTGAACTCATCACGCTTCCTAACAACCCGCTCCCTTGGCAGGTTCTGTCTCTGGAAAGGCTGGGCATCTAACTGCCCATCCTGAGCAGGAGCCGGGTGCTGGGGTGAGGCTCCACAATCACCTAGAGGGTCTGCCTCCCCCACCCCGCACCCACACTGAACTGGGCCCCCAGGTGGCTGCCCCAGCCGGGTGCTTCTCTCCCTCAGGGTTCACCTCCACACCCTCCCACCCCACCCCACCCCAACCCAGCCCACCCCAACCCCGAGCTGGAGACCACGACCTGCTTTCCAGAGTCCTCCCAGGGAAATGTCTCACATCCCTTCTCCCTTAGCGTCTGGCTGATTCTGTTGTCTTCACATTTACCTCTTGGCCTGCTTTGTATTTTAAGAAATGGTTACCAGGCTTTAGGTTTTAGAAAAAGAAAGAAAAAAAAAAAAAAAATAGAGGCCCTGAATGTGGCAAAAAGTGAACCTGTTCTGCTTCTAAGCCTGAAGATCCACAAACTCAGCCACTGAAAACCTCTGGGAGTCGCAGTGGACACAAGAGCAAGTGGGTCGGAGTTGCCTGAGGTCGATGGAAGCCTGGGGCGCCCACCTTGCTGCCCTCTCTCATCCCTCACTCTCATCTTGTGTTCCTGTGGCTGGAGCTCTGGTTCTGACGGATGGGCCAGTTTTTTTTTTTTTTTTAAAGTTTTTTTTGTGAACTGAGTGACAGTTTACATGGGAGAGCATCAGCTTTACACCATGGTTTCATGGCAATTACAATCTCCTCCATGCATCATCATTCAACAGTATTTACTTCCATTCCCTCTGGGGTTTTTTGGGGGGGGCAACGTGTGTACCCCAAAACACTCAGGAATATATAATAATTTAAACAACCTAAGGGCACATTCTGCAAGCCTGCCTCCTGGTCGCCAGCATCCAGTCCCTCTCTTTCTATGAGTCTAGAGTCCTCAGCTGCTCCCTCTCTCCATGTCCTCATCTCTGCCTCCATCTCTGGTGTCGCTGCTTCTCTGGATAAGGTCCCACATTCTGCTCTTGCTCTTCTCCCTTGATGGTCCTCTGTTTCTGGACTGTAAGATTAACTACTCCCTAGTTTTTGTTACAAAACTTCTACCTTTAGAGTTGTGAGAGTTGCAATTAGTCATGATAACAGTTACTATTGAATCATAAGAATCTGATCCCCATCTCTTTTCACCAGATCCTTCTACACAAGATGAAAACGATTCAGTGGGTACTCTACCTTCCCCTGCACACTCTTAAACTAAATTCCCTCTTGAAAACTTGTAAGCCAGTCACTTCATGCCTTTATTGCCCCCTCATTTTAGGTAGCCAATGTCTAAGTTGCCTGTCCCTATCTACCCTGTGCACAGAGGGGATAGGACTGGTACTTGACGTGAAGACTCTTCCCTCTCAGTTGGTATTTTGAGCTACTACTACATCCATAAGTATAGGTTAAGTTCATCAAATTGTAGCAATTTACTGTAGTTTCCTTGATCAAAAATTGTTTTTTTTTCTTTTCCTCTAGTCAAGTTCTGATTATCAAGCCACCAAGGCTGGGTCAAATGAGTACTATCTACAGGTTTGGGCTTTCTTTTGCGACTCCCCTCACTTCATATTAGCTGGATGCTTCACTCTCAGCTCTAGCCCTCTGTGGCTATGTCCTTGTCCATGGGCTCAGGTGTCCCCAGGTCTCACCACACTTTGGACCAACCAGCCTTTCTTATTCTCTCTCTCATCTCCAGGTCAACGGGAGTCTATGGAACATGGTTGAACTCAGCCCACTTCATCATTGCTGCCTTTCCCCCTCCTCCACTCACCAGGAGACCAATGTGGTCACCAGCGAGCTTACATGCCTGCTCAGGTGTTCCCTTTGAGTTTTTCAGTCTTGGAGAGGGATTTGTCCTGAAGGGACTTGATTGCTTGCTTTTATGGCTCCCCAGCAAACAACTTGCTTGTTCTTGTAGTAGCCAGTCATACTGCCATTTTTGTTTTGGATTTTTCCTGCTCTTTCTTTGAAGATGTATCTTCTGTCGCTCCAGCTGTTCCAGGCTGGTCTGCTTGTCCTTTCTAGTGGGAATGTCTCAGCTTAGAAGGTTCTGGATGGGGCTCAGGATTCCACCTAAGGTGCTCTACTCTGCAAAGGCTCTGCAAGAAGCTTATTTCACTGATCAAGTTCTAGAATCCCTGTTAGATATTTCATTCAGTTATAGGCCGAAGACAGACTTACAAGTGCTCTGTAATCCTGTTTCCCGACAGTCCTTTCTATCCCCCTCAAGTGTCTATTTTACAGTAGTAGGCAGGGGAAACCAACAGTCAAGCATTGTAGTATTATTTCCTCTCTTCAGACTATGCCTTGTTCCTTTATCACAGAGCCCTGTTGTTCCCAAGGTTGAGCATGCATCACTATTTACCTTTGTCCCATGGCCAAACTTCATCTCTCATACTTCGGACATATTGTCAGGAGGGACCAGTTCCTGGAGAAGGATATCATGTTTGGTAAGGTGGAGGGTCAGAGAAAAAGAGGAAGATCCCCAGTGAACTGGATTAGCAAAGTGGTAGCATCAGTGGGCTGAAGCATGGCAACAATTGTGAGGTCGGCCCAGGACCAGGCAGTATTTCCTCTGTTGTGCACAGGGTCGCTATGAGTCAGAACTGACGCCATGGCACCTAACAACACGTAGCCCATGCAAACCTGTGAATGGCCCAGTTTTAATATGGATCCCACTCTCCTCACTCCGAGGCTCACATTGGGGGTCACATTTGGTGTTGTCAGGTGTCCACCCTTAACACATGATCCTGGTGCCTAGTTTCCCTGCTGCATCCTTGGCTCCCCCTACTGGCCAGGCTGAATATCCTCCTGGGATTCCAGGTTCACTGTGCCTAGTGTGGGGAGGTGAAGCAGGCAGGCTCCGAACCAGACAGCCCCCGCCCGCAAGGGGCACCACCTCCCTGAGCCTCAGCCCCCACTTTGGGTGGACGTGATGACAGGGTTTTCTCACTGGGTGTTTGCTATGCTGAATTGGCAGCACGCTTGGCGCGTGGCAGCTGGCTTGTAGGAAGCCCTTAGCAATGTTAGCTGCTGTTGCCATTCCAGGCTGTCTGCTAATATTAGAAGCCCTGGTTGCATTCTTATGGAAATTTCTGTTGTAGACTCACAGGAAGTTGTAAATCACCCATGGTGACTCCCCCCCACACTGAAGGAAATACTGCCCAGCCCTGCGCCAGCCCTGCGATCAGTGACACACCAGACCTTGGGGACCCAGGCGGTTTCTTTCACTAGTTTTTGGCAATAGATGGCCAGGCCTTTCTTCCTAGTCTGCCTTAGTCTGGAAGCTCCACTGACAGCGGTTCAGAATCAGAGCAGTCTGCCCACCTCCACTGATGGGGCTGTGGCTGTGGATCCCACGGGGAGGGCGAGAGGTCTACCTCTGAGTCACCAGACCCTGAGGCCAGTGTCACAGCCAACATGTCATCGTGGCCACCCATCCATCTTATTCCCATCCCCCCATCTGACTTAAACACTCATGTGTGTGTGTGTGTGTGTGCGTATATTGTGTGCATGGGATTTGTGTGTGTGTGTGTAGATGTATATGTGTGTACATGGAGTGTGTGTGAACATGTGTGTGTATACGTAGTGTATGTGAGAGCATGTGTGTACATGGTGTGTGCATGAATGTGTGTATGTATGTTGTGTGTGTCTGCATATGTGTGTGCCTGTGTCTAAATATGTTTGTGCATCTGTGTCTGTCTGTACACGTGAATGCACACCTGTGTCTATAGGTGTGTCTATATGTATATGTGTCTGTGTGTGTATGTCTCTGTATGTATACGTGTGTGTCTGGTTGTCTATATGTGTTCATTGGTGTCTGTATGTGTGTTTCTGTGTCTCTGCGTGTGTGTGTCTCTGTGTGTCTGTCCACGCATATGTGCCTGTGTGTACTGTGTGTGTGTGTATGTTTGTCTGTATGTGTGCATCGGTGTCTGTGTGTTTCTGTGTCTCTGCGTGTGTGTGTCTCTGTGTCTCTGTGCACGCGTATGTGCCTGTATGTACTGTGTGTGTGTCTGTGCACGCATATGTGTCTGTGTCTCTGTGTCTGTGTGAAGTCACAGTCTCAGGACTGGACAGTCCATCACCTCTCTCCAACCCCCACGCTGTGTGGACCTGCTCATACTCATACTGACACGGGCTTGCCCTGTAGTCTGTTGTGGAGCGTGTCCACTGGCTGGGTGGCACCACTTCTGCATTTCCTCTGGATGCCCAGCAAGACGCTGTCTTTCCAGGTCAAAGTTAGGAGTATATGCACGTTGAGATGCTGGCCTTGGGGGTCAGGAGAGGGCGCTGCAGGTCACCGGGAGCTCCTGGGAGCCAGCAGTGCTGGGAAGGCAGGGTGCAAGACCCACCACTTCCAAAAAATCTTTTCCTCGTGTTTTCCTTCTTGTGCACATGATACATGCTTTGCCACCAGAAGTCGGACAGTACAGATGCCAGCGTAGCCAGTGTTTGCTCTTCACTGTGTGCTTAGCAGAATACCAGAAACAGAGGTTACCTTGAGGACTGAGGTGGTATTTCCAGTCGCCTGCCTGATATGGTGGACAGTGAATAAGGCAGACCCAAGAGGAATTGGTGCATGTGAGTTACAGTGAACCACCAGAACAAACAAGCCTGTGTTAGAAGTACAACCAGAATGTTCCACAGAAGCCAGGATGGCTAGACTCTGTCTCTCAGACTTTAGACATATTGTCAGGAGGGACCAGTCCCGGGAGAAGGACATTGTGTCTTGTAAAGTGAAGGGTCAGCGAAAAAGAGGGAGACCCCCAAGGAGATGTACTGACACAGTGACAGCACCAGTGGGCTCAGACACATCAAGAACCCGGAGGCTGGCTCCGGACGAGGCAGTGTTCCCTTCTATTGTACATCAGAATCTACAGCATCAAAGTCACAAACGGGGGCTTGGAAGAGACGCTGGGGGTGCAAGCAGTCAGTGTGCTCAGCTGCTCACTGAAAGGTTAGAAGTTCGAGTCCACTTAGAGGCACCTTGGATGAAAGACCAAGCACTCTACTTCCCCTCAATCACCCACTGAAAGCCCTGTGACAACACAAGTTCGCCATGAGCCAGAGTCGACACCTGCTCAGCATGTGATGCCAACGGGTCATCTGATCTTAAAACCCCCATTGTCATCAGCCCTGTGTGCAGGTGACATGCTTCAGGCTCAGAGAGGCTGAGCAATTTGCCGAGGAATTCACAGCTAGTTTGAGGAATGGAGATCAAAATCAAACCAAGGCTTGTCCCATTCACAGGGCACATAACAGCAAGCAAGAACCCCCCCCCCCCCCCCCCCCCCCCCCCCCCCCCCCCCCCCCCCCCCCCCCCCCCCCCCCCCCCCCCCCCCCCCCCCCCCCCCCCCCCCCCCCCCCCCCCCCCCATATAATCATCTTTCCTTCCCAGAAGAATTGGCTGTGGTAATTTAGTGCTAATCACAAGTTCGGCAGTTCAAAGCCATCAGCCGCTCCTTGGAAAAACCCTGGTCAGGGTTGCTATGAGGCAGAACCAACTTGACTGAACTTCCCAACAGACTCTTTGTGGCTAACTAAGGCATGTGTTTGCATGCCAGAGAGAATGAAGTACCATGTCTGCATCCCACACCATCCCGTTTCCTCCTTTCCCTTCCTAAAACCAGCCGTCAGTGCTGGCCCTGGTATGATTCCCGGTGGTAACTTCCTTCTCCAGAGTCCCCGCTTGACATATCTCAAGGATTCCAAGAATCAGTGCCTTCAGACGCCATGCCAGTGGACAGTGGGTGAATCAGCTGTGATTCACTGTAGCCTCGTTCATGGAAAGTCCTTGGTGTCTTAGAGGGAAATATGGTATCTGAGGTTCAGTTCTGCAAGCCCCAAAATGTCTCCCCTCGCCACCCCCAAACTTGTGATACTCAATGTTAAGAAGGCTGTTTGCTTTCACAAAGGGAAACAAACTTATGGGTTCGAATCTGGGCCTGTGAGCTCGGTTCAAGATAATAGCCACTTTGGAGGCTGGGGCTGTAGAGACAAGGGTCCCGGCTCCATGTCAAGCTTTCTTGAGGACCAGGCCCGAGACCACAGGGACTAGGGTGGGGCCCAGTGGGCAACATGCCTGTCAAACCACGTCTGCTCCTTGTCACAGACCTACCGGGAGCACCTGAGAGGACAGATGCACAGGAAGAAGAAAGTGGCTCAGAGCACATGGAGCGAGTCGGACGGCAGCCCACGCGGCGTGCAGGCGATCCTGCGTTGTGAACTCTGTGACGTGTCCTGCACTGGGGCTGACGCTTATGCTGCCCACATCCGGGGGTCCAAGCACCAGAAGGTAGGGGCCACTCTCCAAAAGGGCCATTTGGGGATTGCCTTTTCCAGACTCTTGCATCTCTGTTCCTAAGAACTAGACAACTGGTTTCCAGTGTCTCAGGGTACCAGGGGCCCTGGTAGTTCAACAGTGAAGCACTTGCCTGTTAATCAAAGGCAGTACAGTGGTTCAAATCCCTGCCCCCACTCCCTGCAACCCCACAGGAGAAAGACCCCGTGATCTGCTTCCATAAAGATGGTCATTGTTGTGAAGTGCTGTCGAGTCGGTTCCAACTCATAGCCACCCTATGTAGGGTTTCTGAGGAGCAGCTGGTGAGCTTGAACCACCAACTTTGCAGTTCAAACCAACCTTGCATTCCAGCGCATTAGCCCACAGTGCTGCGCTAGGATGACTGCCAACAAAGCCTTATGAGGCAGCTCCGCTCTGTCACATGGGGTCGCTATGCATTGGAATCACCTTGATGACACCTGGCACCTGGCACGCGCTGCACCAAACTGCAAAGATGGGGAGGGGCTGCCTCAGAGACCACAGGGAATGGCTCCTGGGTGTATTCAAACACAATGCTTTTTCCACTGACGAGATCATCCAGTATATTCCAGGATGGGGCCTGTTGCTTTTGTGTGTGTGTTGTATTGTGTTTGTTGTCCTTGAGCAGACAAAACACAACATTTCAACAGCTTATCCCGGTGCACCTTGGTGTCATGGCCGACACTCAGAGCTGTGTAGCCGGTCTCACGCTCTTGTCCCCAAGAGCGCGAACTCACTGCCTCCCAGCGTCTCATGGAACCTTCGAGTGTACTGGTGTCACTATGGTCTTAAAGGAGCTCAGGGCTCGAGGCAGACACTCCACTCGGGATGCTAAACCATTGTTTGGTTTGAAGAAGACTTGGGGAGTCTTTTTGGTTTAAAGTTGAATCATCATCTTAGGGCAATAGTTTCGGGGGGCGTCCATCCAGCTTCCATGGTTCCAGAACATCTGGATTCCATGAGAATTTCAAATTTCAGTTTTGCATTCCCCCACTTTTGATCATAAGAAACTCTGCTAGCGTAGTGGTTATGAATCGCACTGCAAGCCGCAAGGTCAGCAGTTCGACACTACCAGCTGTTCTGCGGGACAAAGATAAGGCTTACTGCTCCCGTAAAGATTTATAGCCTCAGAAACCCTGTACAGGGTCGCTGTGAGTCGGAACCGACTCCACGGCACATAACAACAACAACAACAACTTTTGAACATATTCTCAGTATTTTTTTTAATGGGAGCTAGAGAAGAGGTGTTGGATCTTGGCTTAGAG